ATTTGATTTAAAAATAAGCTAAGAACTTAAACAGAAATGTTTCCAAAGACATATAAATGGTCAACAGATGTATGAAAAGATGTTTAATGTTACTAATCATCAGAGAAATACAAATCAAAACCACAATGAGATATCACTTCAGACCTGTTAGGCTGGCTATTATCAAAAAAAAAAACAAAACAGAAGACAAGTGTTGGCAAAGACATGGAGAAATCAGAATCCTTGAACACTGCTGATGAAAATACAAAATGGAGCTGGGCTCGGTGGCTCAGCCTGTAATCCCAGCACTTTGGGAGGCTGAGGTGAGTGGATTGCCTGAGCCCACAGGTTCGAGACCCGCATGGGCAACTTGGCGAGACCTCATCTCTACAATAAATTTTTTAAAAAATTAGCTGGGTGTGGTAGCACGCACCTGTTGTTCCAGCTACTAGGAAGGCTGAGGCGGAAGGATCGCTGGAGCCCAGCAGGTCAAGGCTGCAGTGGCCGCTCCCAGTCTGGTTGACAGAGTGAGACTCCAACTCAAAAATAAAATAAAAATAATTTAAAAAAATAAAATACAAAATGGTACACACCCTTCGGAAAACAGTATGGAAGTTTCTCAAAAAATTAAAAATACAGGCAACCCCTTTGGGTCACCTCTCACTGTGGGAAACTTTCTGTCCTCTCAATAAATCCTGCTTTTAAAAAAATTAAAAATACAACTACCATATGATTTAACAATCCCACGTCTGGATATTTATCCAAAAGAATTGAAGTCAGAATCGCAAAGAGATATGAGCATGCTCACATTTATTGCAGCTTTATTTCCAATAGCCAAGATGTGGAAACAACGTAAATGTCTATCAACAGATGATGGAGGATTTTTTTTATGTGGTATATACATACAGAGGGATATTATTCAGCTTTTAAAAAGAGGGAAATTCTGTCCTTTGTGATAACATGGAGAAAACTGGAGGACATATTCTAAGTGAAATTAGCCAGTCACAGAAGAACAAATACTGCATGATTCTGCTCATGGATTAGAAGCATCGATACCATTAAAATGTCAATACTGCCCAAAGCAATCTACAGATTCAGAGCAATCCCTATAAAATTACCAGTGCCATTTTTCACAGAATTAAAAATTATATATACAATTCATAAGAAGTCAAACCAATCCTAAGCAAAAAGACCAAAACTTCAAGCATCACATTACCCAACTTCAAACTTTTCTATCAAGCTTTAGTAACCAAATCAGCAAAGTACTGATACAAAAATAGACACATGGACCAACAAAGCAGAATAGGGAAGGCAGAAATAAAGCCACTCACCTACAACCAACCTCTCTTTGACAAAGCTGACAAAATAAAACACTGGAAAAAGATGCCTACTCAATAAATGGTGCTGGGAAAACTGGATAACCATATGTAGAAGAAGGAAATTGGACTCCTACCTCTCATATACAAAAATTAACTCAAAATGGATTAAGGACTTAAATGTAAGACCTCAAACTAGAAATCTTAGAAGAAAATCTAAAAAACACTCTTCTACACAATGACCTAGATGACAAATTTTATGATCAAATCCTCAAAAGCAAATGCAGTAATAACAAAAAATGACAGTTGGGACCTAATTAAACTAAAGAGCTCCTGCACAGCAAAAGAAACTATCAACAGAGTAAACAGACAACCTATAGAATGGGAGAAAATATTTGCAAACTATGCATCCAACAAAAGACTAATATCCAGAATCTATAAGGAACTTAAATCAACAAGAAAAAAGAAGACATACAAGAGGTCAACAAACATATGAAAAATTATCAACATCACTAAGCATCAGAAAAATGCAAATCAAAATCACAATGAGACACCATCTTACACCGATCAGAATGACTACTACTAAAAAGTCAAAAAATAACAGGACCAGGTATGTGGCTCATACCTATATTCCTAGCACTTTGGGAGGCCAAGGCGAGAGGATTGCTTGAGCCTAGGGGGTCAAGCCCATCCTAGGCAACATAGCAAGATCTCAACTCTACAAAAAAAATAAAAAATAAATTAGCTGAGCAAGGTGGTTTGTGCTTATAATCTCAGCTACTTAGGAGGCTAAGGCAGAAGGATCACCTGAGCCCAGGAGGTTGAGGATGCAGTGAGCCATGATTGTGCCACTGCACTCCAGCCTGGGAGATAGAGTGAGACCCTGACTCAAAAACAAAATAAAGTAAAATAACAGGTGTTAGTGAGGAACATAAATCACTTTAACAAAAGGACAGCCGGGCTTGGTGGCTCAGCTTGTAATCCCGCATCTTGGGAGGCTGAGGTGAGTGGATTGCCTGAGCCCGCGGGTTCGTGACCTGCCTGGGCAACTTGGCGAGACCTCATCTCTACAATAAATCAAAAATCAACCGGGCGTGGTAGCGCGCA